ATATAGGAGGTACCCTATAACTTACCACACCAGGAAACTTTTCAAAATGAAGGGGGACATTAACCAGCTAGTACACTGGGAAGACAGGTGCAAACTGGGACAGACCCAGACACACTCAATGTCCTACCTATTTATATGTGTAGCGGATTTTTTGGTTTGTTTTTCAGACTACAAACTCAGGTGTATAAAAAGGTACATTGACTTATTTGCAGTTTAGATAACAGATTAAGAGCTCTTACCCATAATATACAAAGAACTCTTAAAAATGAACAACACTAGAAAAAGGATAAAATGCTATGAATTGGTAATTCACAGAACGAAAATACATCAATGATAACAGATGTATTAAAAAATGCTCACACTTTCTAGGAGTCAGGAAAGTACACAATAAAATAGCTATGAGCAGTCATTTTACACTCATCAAGAGGACAAAAGTTGTAAAACAATGATAATTCCTATTGTTGGCTGGGAAGTAGGACAATCCACATTATGGGTGAAAATATAAATTATCACTTTAAAAAAATAAATCTAGCAACGTCTACTACAATTACTTTACAGATAATTAGCAATCCCACTGCTAGGATCCTACACCATAGAAATAAAAGTGTCAATATCTAAAAACATACGCACAAAAATGTTTATCAAATAATTGTTTGTATTTGTAAATACATGGAAACAAAATGATTGCATGCCAATTAAGAGAATGGCTACAGAAATTATGATAGATAATATGAGCCTATTCAAAAATAAATTAAATTTGCAAAAGTTGTTCTGGATTACTTTCCATGACATACTGTTAAGTGAGACAGGTCTATAGGAATATTTATTCCTTCACATTGAGGATCTGGAGACTCTTCAGAGGACACAGTTGAGAAATCAATATTAGAATAACCCAGACGTAGGGCGAACCCCATAGCTGAGTGGTTAAGTTCGCACTCTTTGCTTAGGCAGCCCAGGGTTTTGCCGGTTTGGATCCTGGGCGCGGACATGGCACCACTCATCAGGCCATGCTGAGGTGACGTCTCACACGCCACAACCAGAAAGACCCACAACTGAAATATACAACTATGTACTGGAGGGATTTGGAGAGAAACAGCAGAAAGAAAAAAAAAGAAGAACCCAGACGTATATATGTCACAGTTTTACTTCTAGTTTTGGTGTAAAAATATAAAGAACTTCATCTCTGTGGTAACATCAAGAAAAATCCAGAAAATGTGAAAATCATACTTGCCTATAGGATTATCTAAGAGTGATAGATGCAAGAAAACCTTCATAGACTGATTTCCATAGAGGCTTCATAATTAATCAGCTTCCAGGCAAACACTAGGTCTGAGTCTAGACAGACTTGCCAAACACCCGGAGACTACATCAAAGGGGAAATAGGTTAGGCAAGAGATCGACACTGGTTAAGCTGACAGGAATGCTTAAAGTCTGAAAAGTTTCAAATGCAACAAAAATTTTCTTGTCATAACATTTTTACTATTTCACTCCTTCCCGATTTGGCTGAGATAAAGGCAGTATAGTTGAGAGTGAAAGACAGAAATAACTTACACATTTGAAAAAACTCTAACTCCCATTCTACTGGTAGCAGGAACCAGTAAACACAAAGGGGGGGCCTCTAAGGCTCTCTGACTCATCTGACTTCTCATCAAACAGAGCAGCTCCTCCACAGCAATGACAGCCAGCAGCAGCCACAGACTAAATGTTTTGGGTTGAGCTAACCAGAGATGAGCTTAATCTTTAAGCTATAGCTCAGTTAATCTGAGTCATTCGACAATTGGTAAAATTTGAAATGATCACTTTCTCAGTTTAGCAATCAGACACGGAAAAGCTTGCATGCTCTGGGAAAAAAACACAAAACAATAGCATAGCCCAATATTTCTGGTGCTTCTACATAAAGTGTCTGGCATGCAATAAAAGAATAACGAGCTATGTGAAAAGGCAAAGAACTGGACCTGCAATCAGGGAAAAAGTTCTAAAGACTCCAACTCACAGTTAACATAGATATTGTAACTGGTAAACATGAACTTTATTCTAAATAATAACATGAATTTACAGGACTGACAGAAAGTATGGATAAATAGATAGGAGATTTCAGTAGAGAAAAGAAAACTATTAGAATATAGAAGTTCTAGGATCTGCAATACAAAATGGGCCTAAAACTAGAATTAAACACTAGAATTATACCCATTGCAGAAGAAATTGATCAGTGAATTTAATGACAGGTCACTAGAGATTACCCTAAAGGAATTACAGAGAGAAAAAAAATGTAAAGACAACTGATCAGAATGCTAATTACCTGTAGGAAAATATCAGGCAATCTAACATATGTGTAATTAGAAAATATATCATAGCTAACTAGAGTTTATCCTAGGAATTCAAGGTTATATTAAGATTCAGAAATCAATGAATGTAATCAATCTCATTAAAAAGAATAAAGGAGATAAGTCATATGGTTATCTTAACAGAGGTAAAAAGAAAAAAAGCATTAGACAAAATCTAACACTTACTAATGATAAAAATGTCTCAGGATCTAGAAATAGAAGAAAACTCCCTCAATCTGAAAAAATCCATGAAAAACTTTCAGCTGACATCAAATTCATTGATGAAATATTAGACATGCTTCACCACCACTAAGATTGGGGAGAAGGAAAGGCTGTATACTTTTTACCATTTTTATTCAACACTGTATTTTGTGCTAGAGGTCTAAGCCTAAGGATTTGAAGAAAAAGGAAGGAAGGAAAGAAGGAAGGAAGGAAAAAGTAAACTTTTTTTTCATGGACAAACCTGTTTACATTGAAACTCCTAAGAAATACTTTTAAAACATACTAGATATAATAGGTGAATTCAGCAAGGTCTTGGGATTCAAAATCAATACAAAAATCAATTGTATTTCTACAAAGTGGCAAGAAACAATTGGAAATAAAATTTAAAAATCAATACCATTCACAATATCATAAAAAATAAAACACCTAGAGACACATCTAGTGAAAACTAAGCAAGACCTCTACTCTGAAAAATACAAAACTTTGAGAGAAATTAGAGATGACCTAAATATTGTAAACATAGTAATTCTCTCCAAATTAACTAAAGAGTGCAATTTCAATCAATATCCTAAGAGGCTTTTCTGTCATTACTGACAAACTAATATTAAAATTTCTATGGACATGTAAAAGACCTAGATAGACCAGTCAAACAGACAAAAAAGAAAAATAAAATTTAAGGATTTATACTACCCAACTTCAAGATTTACTATAAAGCTACTGTAATCAAGTTGGTGGTATGGGCATAAGATAGACAAATAGATCAATGGAACTAAAGAGATTCCAGAAATAGCTCTATATAATTACAATCAAATGATTTTTGACAGGCAACAGAGTAATTCAATGGGCTAAGAAAAATATTTTCAGTTAGTGGTGCATTGAAACCACTAAATAAAGAAAAAAAATCTCCACCTCTTCATGCATCAGGCACAAAAATTGATTGGAGATGGATCATAAACAGAAACATAGAAGCCAAAATTATAAAACATCTAAAAGAAAGAACAAGAATGTTATAGTTGAAGAAGATCATGAATTATGAATAAGAGTTTATCAGCCCTAGAGAGGAAACAGAGATCCAAATTAGAGAAAAAAAATTCATGCAAAGGTACAAAAAATATGTAAATTCATTGTGTGTTTGGGAAACGATGAGTAATCTAGTGTTGTTTCATTATTAAGCACGGTCCTGTACAAGTCGTTTTGAGAAGTACAAAGGATAAAAAAGTGAAACAACACAGAGTCTCTCTACATCAGAAACTCCCATTACCAGGGGAAGAAAAGATATGGGGGGCATGATACATAATGCAATGAAACAATTTCTATTAAAGTTAACTACAACTTACATGAAAACAATGAGAACACAACAATATTATCTTAATTTCTTGGGAGTCTGAAGATTTTGTATGGTGAACAAGTTTAGTTTGTTGTCAGGGAAGAACATTCCATTCGGAAGAAATTACACATGAAAAGTGCACACATGAGCAAGAGTGTAGACGATTCACAAAACCATTGGCAATTGGCATGGCTGCAGGAAGCATGCCTGGGGAAGAGCAGTAATATTCAAGAGTGGAAATGAAAGTGGGAACAGATCATGAAAGGCAAGTACACTACACCAAGAGAAAATAAGATATATTAACCATTGAATGGTCACTTCACATATTTTCTAATGGTACAAAATACTCTAATGGATGTTTTATGTTTCCTGGTTTACGTATGAGGGAACAGGTTTAGGGGTTTTGGTGTATACCTGTTAAGGACAGTATGTCTTCTTAGAAAATTAACTCTATTATCCTTATGAAATTCCCTTCTTTATCCTTGATAAATTTCCTGATCTGAGGTCCCTTCTGTCTGAAACTCCAGCTCTTTTTTGTTTGGTGTTAGTATGGTATATCTTCCCCCATCCCTTAACTTTTAACCTATCTGAGTCTTCATATTTAAAGTGAGTTTCTTGTAGGCAACATATTTGTTGGGTTTTTTCCCACTTTGACGATCTATGCTTTTTAATTAGTGTATTTAGATCACTTATATTTAACGTAATTATTGATACCATTTGATTAACATCTACCATGTTTTTAACTGTTTGCTATTTATTGCACTTGTTCTTTGTTTCTCTTTCCCTTTTTTCTGTCTTTTCACATTTTAACGGAACATTTTATGTGATTCAATTTTCTCTCCTTTCTTAGTATATCAATTATACGTTTTTTTAAATGCTTTTAGTGATTTCCCTGAGGGTTCAAATGTATATTAATCTAAGTCCACTCTCAAAAAACATTATACTGCTTCACATATAATACCTTGTAACAGAATATTCTCAATTCTTCCCTTCTGTTCTGTATGAACACGGCTGTCATTCATTTCATTTATCCATATACTATGATCACTCAATACATATTTTCTAATATTACTACAAACAATTGTGTTTTAGATTAAGAACAATAAAAATAAAAGATTTTATTTTACCTTCGTTTATTCCTTCTCTGATGCTTTCTCATTCTTTATGCAGATAAAGTTTCTGACCTGGATCATTTTCTTCTCTCTGAACAACTTTAACATTTCTTGCAGGGCAGGTCTCCTATTTTTGTTTGTCTGAGAAGTCTTTATTCTCCTACATTTTGAAAAATAAGGTCACTGGATTAGAATGCTAGCTTAGTGGATGTTTTCCTTTCAACGCTTTAAACATTTTACTCCACTCTCTTCTTCCTTGTTTGGTTTCTGATGAGAATTTTGCTGTAATTCTTATCCTTGTTTCCCCATAAGTAAGATGAGCTTTTTCTCTCTGGCTTTTTTCCAGATGTTCTTTTAAATTCACCCAAAGCTCTTGAATGTTCTGAAACCCCTCCCCCATTGCTTTTTCTCTTTGCACTTCAGTTTGGCAACTTTGTGTGGATCTGTCTTCAAGCTTATTGATTCTTTCTTCATTTGTGCCCAGTCTACTGATAAACTCATCAGAGGTATTCTTCATTTCTGTTATTGTATTTTTTATTTCTAGCATTTTTTTAATTCATGCTTAGCATTTCCATTGCTCTGCTCACGTTATCTATCTTTTTTTGCATGTTGTCTACTTTTTCCAATGAGATCTTTAGCACACTAATCATAGTTATTTTAAATTCTTTGTCTAATAATTCCAATATCTGTGTTATATCAGATTCTGGTTCTGATGATTGCTTTGTCTCTTCATGCCATGTGTTTTCTTGCCCTTTAGCATGCCTTGTAATTTTTGTTGAATGACGGATATGATATGTTGGATAAGAGGAACTGAGTTTAAAAGGCCTTTATCATGAAGATTTCTGTTAATCTGTCTAGGAGTTGGTCGTGTTGGATGTTAGTTGTAGGTGCCAGAGGCTTGAAATTCCTCTGGTTTCCTTGGTTCTGTCTTTGCTATTGCCTTTAGGCTTCTGCAAGAACTCCTCCTTAGAGTCTGTGTCTCTCAGTTCTTTCAGCTGTAATCCAATGTTATTATACTGGAGGCTTGTTGCTGCAGTGGTAAAGTGTGGGAGAGGGGAAGCTTTCTATGGCTTTATAATTAAAATCAGCCTTTCAGTGGACTTGTGTCCCTGGGCTGTGTCCTTCACAAGTGTTTCTTAACTTCTCCCCACCATAGATGAGACAGGAAGACTGGAGGGGGATAGAATCAGGAAAATATCCTCCCCTCAGGTGGAACAAGCCTCCAGTAGTCTTTTGCCCCTACAGTAAGCCTTCCTTATCAAGAATGCTCTCGGTGTGTTTCACATGGCTACTTTTCCCCATCCCCTGCCAGAGTCACTAGGGATCTTTCTCAGATCTTCACAGTGAGAACCTGGTAGGGTTCTTGGAGTTAAAACCCAGAAAAGTATGGGATCTCCTAAGGCCGTGATCCCCACGAATTTCTCACTCTCGTGCTAGGCCACGTCAGCCTCCAGCAACTGGCCAAAATTACCATTTAAGTGTCACTATCAGTTTATTGCTGAAGTGACTTCTGCTCCATCCTGGAAAGTATATCTCAGCTGTGACTTTCTGAACTTGCCTGTCTCTCCATATTTCAGGGTGATGGTTTGCCCTGTGACCTCAGTTCTCTGATGAGTCCAAGAAAAGTATTTAACTTTTGGTTAGTTCATCCGTGCCCATCTTCCTCTACTTTATATGTGGGACACCTACCACAGCATGGATTGCCAAGAGGTACCATGTCTGCACCTGGGATCTGAACCAGCGAACCCCGCGCCACTGAAGCAGAATGTGAGAACTTAACTGCTGTGCCACCAGGCCGGCCCAACATCCTCTTTCTTTAGTTCTGGCTGGAAAGCTTTTAAAAAATATACTATTCTCTCAAAACCTTATAATAATATAAAAGGCCATTGTCAAAAATCCCCTTTTTCTCCTTACAGAAATATTTAGCACAATTACTTTGTTTTGATATATGGTTTTGTCAAGAATTCAATGAATTTTGGCCATGACACTCACACATATTCACCGCTTGTTCAAAAAAGGTAATGCATTTGCAATTTACAAGTCCCATACAAGACTAATTAGATTGTCATAAAGCATAAGATTTCCAAGTAATTTTGATATAATGTTGTTATAGCTCTATAATTATCACCTTTTGTGAATAATTTACTTATATATCAAAACTTAGAAAAGCATGCCGTGTAAAATTTAAATTTGAGAGATAGTTTTGATCTGATCCTATCATAAATAGCATAAGTGAAAATTCTTTATTTGAAAACTAAGAAATATGATGTCTATTGTTTTAAAAATTGTATTGTAACTATAACCTTCTAAAAACAGCATTTTTACCTTTAACAGTTAAACTGAAAACCAAATAATACTGCCCTTCATGAAAATTCAAAAAACTATAAACCATAATAAGAGATAGTTGGCTCTATTCAATGAAGCAGGAGGTTCTGGCTTATTAGAAGTGCATTTATTCCACGCTTAGAGAGTTTCTAACTGAATCTAGACAAGCAAAAATAATAGCCAGAGCAGATGTCAAACAGACTTCTCCTCATTAGAAACTAATTGCCTGTTTGGTTGCCTTTATCATTTGAAACACAAGGGAAATGAACATTGCTGATGTGCACATCAATGCTGTAGAGTCTAAAATCATTTTTCCAGTAGTTACTCTGGAAATCATCCAAAACCAATTGAGGATCAAAAGACCATTGCAAAATTTGATTCAGAAAGGAATTCTATTGATAAAGCTTATGAATTTGTATAATCAAATAACTTTAATGGAACGTAGGTGATCTAAAGCAATAAAAAATTAAGCCTAATCTTTAACCTACCAAATAGTAGATATGTTTTAATTATTTAAATATCTGAATATTTAGATATCTGATCTGATGTAAAATTTTTTTTTTTTTGAGGAAGATTAGCCCTGAGCTAACTACTGCCAATCCTCCTCTTTTTGCTGAGGAAGACTGGCCCTGAGCTAACATCCATACCCATCTTCCTCTACTTTATATGTGGGACACCTACCACAGCATGGCTTGCCAAGCGGTGCCATGTCCGCACCTGGGATCCGAATTGGCAAAGCCCGGGCCGCTGAGAAGTGGAACGTGTGCACTTCACCGTTGCACTACCAGGCCAGCTCCTGATGTAAAATTTTTTGAAAAAGGAAAACAAGTTCATAAGATTAGTTTCTATTTAGAATTTTCAATATTTCAATGAGAATATAAAATATTTATTTTAATCCATGTTATTAGAACATTTGAAAATATACATGTCGTTTAACTGTGGAGTATGATGTTTGGAACCATTTCTTTTATTGGAACTCAACTGTGATAAATTGATGACGACTTCTGTTTTATAGCACTCCGGAAAGGAAAGTTCTACTGTCCCATATTTAATAAAAATATTTCAACATTGATTGAATATATGTTAGCACTTCTTTTTTTTTCATTAATTAGCATTTATGATCAAAGCTGTTTTTTAATAAAGACATACTTCATTTTATTGTGCTTTGCAGATATTGTGTTTTTTTACAAATTGTAGGTTTGTGGCAACCCCAAATCAAACAAGTCTATCAGCGCTATTTTTCCAAGAGCATGTGCTCAATTCATGTCTCTGTGTTACATTTTGGTAAATCTCACAATATTTCAAACTACTTAATTACTATTATATTTGTTATCATGACCCATGATCAGTGATCTTCGACATTACTATTGTAATTGTTTTGGGGCACCACAAACTGCGCCCATGTAAGATGGTGAACTTAATCCATAAAAGTCATGTGTGTTCTGACTGCTCCACGGACTGGCTGTTCCCCCATTTATCTCCGTCCCCTCGGGCTCCCTATTCCTTGAGACACAACAATATTGAAATGAGGACAATGAATAACCCTACAACGGCCTCTAAGTGTTCAAGTGAAAGGAAGAACCACACGTCTCTCACTTTAAATCAAAAGCTAGAAATCAGTAAGCTTAGCGAGGAAAGCATGTCGAAAGCCTCGATAGGCTGAGAGCTGAGCCTATTGTGCCAAATAACTAGCTACATTGTGAATGCAGAGGAAAATTCTTGAAAAAATTAAAAATGGTACTCCAGTGAACATACAAATGAGAAGAAAATGAAACAGCCTTAAGGCTGATGTGGAGAAAGTTTTAGTGGACAGAAGAGCAAACCAGCCACAACATTCCTTTAAGCCAAAACCTAATCCAGAGCAAGGCACTAACCGTCTTCAATTCTATGAAGACTGAGAGAGGTGAGGAAGCTGCAGGAGAAAGGTTTGAAGTTAGTAGAAGTGGTTTATGAGGTTTAAGGAAAGAAGTCATCTCCATAATGTAAAAGTGCCAGGTGAAGCAGTGAGCGCTGATATAAAAGCTACAGCAAGTTCTCCAAAAGACCTAGCTAAGATAACCCGTGAAGGCGGCCACACTAAACAACAGATCTCCAATGTAGACAAATCAGTATTCTTGCAGAAGAAGATGCCATCTAGGACTTTCATTGTTAGAGAAGAGAAGTCAATACCTGGCTTCTAAGCTTCAAAGGACAGGCTGAGACTCCTCGTAGGGGCTAATGCAGCTGGTGACTTTAAGTTGAAGCCAATGCTCATTTACCATTCTGAAAATCCTCGGGCCCTTAAGAATTATGCCAAATCTACTCTGCCTGTGCTCTATAACCAGAACAACAAAGCCTTGATGACGGCATATGTGTTCACCACATGGTTCAGTGAATATTTTAAGCCCACTGTTGAGACCTACTACTCAGAAAAAAAGATTTCCTTCAAATCTTTTTTACTGCTCACTGACAATGCACCTGGTCACCCAAGAGATCTGATGGAGATGTACGGCAAGATTAATGTTGCTTTCATGCCTGCTAACACTACACCCGTTCTGTAGCCCATGGATCAAGGAGTAATTTCAACTTTCAAGTCTTATTATTTGAGGAATATATTTGTAAGTCTATAGCTGCCATAGATAGTGAGTCCTCTGATGGATCTAGGCAAAGTAAATTGAAAACCTTCTAGAAAGGATTTACCAATCTAGATGCCAATAAGAACATTTGTAATTTATGCGGAAAGGTCAAAATATCAACATTAACTAGAATTTGGAAGAAGTTGATTCCAACCCCCACGGATAACTTTGAGGGGGTCAAGACTTAAGTGGAAGAAGTAACTGCAGATGTGGTGGAAATAGCAAGAGAACAAGAATTAGGAGCAGAGCCTGAAGATGTGAGTGAATTGCT